ACCCCCCAGACTTCTCTCGAGTACCCCTAAAGATACTCCTACCATTGGTTGAGAAACACTGATGTAGACCATCCCTGACAGGTGTTTGTCTCACCTGCTCTTAAAAATCTCCAATGATGGAGATTCTGTAACCTAATTTATTCCAGTGCTTAACTTCCCTTACAGGAAGTTTTTCCTAATGTCCCGCCTAAACCACCATTACTGCAATTTAAATCCATTGCTTTTTGTCTTCTCATCAGATGTTAAGGAGAATAATTTTTCTCTCTCCTTGTAGCAGTCTTTTTGGTACTTGAAAGCTGTTATAGCATCCCTTCTCAGTCGTCTCTTTTCCAGACAAAAGAAACCCAGTTCTTTCAGTCTTCCTTCATAGGTCATGTTTTCTAAACTGTAATCATTTTCGTGGCTCTTCTCTGGACTTCTTCCAGTTTCTCCACATCTTTCTTGAAATGTGGCACCCACAACTGGACACAGTACTCCATTTGAGGCCTAATCAGCGTGGAATAGAGTGGCGAAGTTACAGCATTCCTCTTAACACATCCCAGAATGTTGTTTGCTTTGTTTGTAATCATTGTCACACTGTTGACTCGTATTATGCTTGTGTCCACTGTGACCCCCCCCCCCAGGTTCCTTTCTGCCGTACTCCTTCCTAGACTGTCACTTCCCATTCTGTTTGTGTGAAACTGAGGAGTACTTTGCATTTGTCCTTATTGAATTTCATCCTGTTTACGCCTCACTATTTCTCTAGGTTGTCCAGGTCATTTTGAATTATAATCCTATCATCCACAACACTTGCAACCCTCCCAGTTTGGATTCAGCCACAAACTTTATAAGCATCCTCTGTATATCATTATTGAAAATATTGAACAGAGCTGGACCCAGAACTGATCCTGGCAGAATCCTACCTATTCTACCTTTCCAGGCTGACTATGAACCATTGATAACTACTCTCTGGGAATGGTTATCCAAATGTTATGCACTCACCATACAGTAGCTCCATCGAGGTCATTGTGAGGGGTTAGGGGTGCGATCACCCCCTCCCTGGCCGGGAGGGGGGTTTGGTGGACCCCTTCGCCTCTTTTTGGTTTGTCTCACGGCCGGGCTCCTAGTCGGAAGCCCGGGTGATCGGGTGTGATCACCCCCCTCCCTGGAAGGAAGGGGGGGGTCAGTGGACCCAGTAGTCGTTACCTGTCCCTGCGGGGGGGAGGGGGGGCTGAGCCCCTTAGTCCGACCCCACTTCCTGGGGGTGCGGGACTTGGTTCTGCTACCCACCTATGCCGGCGTTGCTCGGAGCTGGATGCTCCTCCGGTGGAGGGAGGGGGACCCGGTCCCGCCCTCTCTCCGGGTCCCAGCCCGGGGCCCTAAGTGTCGGGGCTTGCTCGCACCTCAATGTGGTAGATGGGGGTCACTCCGGCCGTAACCCGTCTACCCGCGGCCGTCAAAAATGCCCTGCCCTGGGCTCCTTCCTCCCTCCCGTTGGGTCTGCCTGCCGATCCCCGTCGCCCTGGCGCCTACCTCGACTCGGCGGTCTGTGGCGTCCCACGTTCCGGTGGAGTCTCGGGGGTGAGTTCTCCGGCCCTGGCGCGCTCCTGGCCATCCCGGTCCCTCCTGACTCGGCGTGGCGGGGTCCTCCTGCCGTCTGGCGAGGGGCTGAGTGCTCGCCAGGGGCAGTGGCTGTCCCGGAGGCCCCGGGACCAGCGCCGGGCCGAGGGGCCAACCGTCTGCCACGTCTTCTCACCCGGTCGGGCTGCTCCCTCCGTGGGCGTCGCGCACTATCCGGGTCACTGCTGGAGCCCAGGCTAGCGGCCCATCTGCGATGGGGGCCTGGCTTGGGATCCCCGAGCGCAGGGTTGTGCCACCGGCCGTGCTCGGGTGTGTCCCCGGTCCGTCCTGAGACGCGGTCTACCTCCCGCTCCCCCGGAGGAGAGCTCCCCTCCCTGTGCCGACGGGCTGTTTTAAACTGTCCCGCCGGCCCTGACGTCGGCTGCCAGCCCCGTCCCCC